AATGGGCTAAAAGAAGCGATTTGTGCACTTCTAGCTCATGCTACTCAAAGGATATGGTGTATCCTCCCACTGGCAGGAATTGGGCAGCAATGGTGGTGGACAAGACACCACCTTGTGAATAAGAGCCATCTTCACCACGTGAATAAGAACCACACCTAGGGGCAGCAGCCACGAAGAAGAAGGAAACTGGGTCCCAGTGTTGAAACTCCTCACACCCAGATTGTAATGCAAGAGGAAAATTAAAGTTTCCTTTAAATAACAGTTATTTTGGCAGTCAGAATGTTACCTTCAATGATATAGGAGGAGTGTAATGAGAAAATGGATATATTGTTTAAAAGCTAAAAGGGAAGAGGTGGAAGATAGCTTCCAGAAGAAACATGGCTGAGATGTGTTTCTTTTTTAAAAAAAAAATCAATGATCTTATAATTCTTACTTTTTTAAAAAGTCTATTTCCTCTCATTAATGACATATTTTTAATTTTGCAAATGTAGTTTTAAATTTATTGCTTGGGAAATAAACAGATTTTATTTTGGGGGACATGATAATTCTGTTTATAAGTTAGGTTTTGGGGGCACTTGTTTACTTGCAGAGAACTGCTTTCACAATGTGACAGAAAATTACAAAGTTTTGCCAAGTTGCTACAGGGTAATTAATTGTATTATTAAATGATTCTTTTACAATATGAAGTTTCTTAGCAGTTAGGTACATAAACCATAAAGTGTTTAATTGCACGTGGATGCCCAGGAAAAAGCAAGTATTTTTAACGTGTTAGAAATACTGGAGTGCCTCATATGTATGCCATTAGAAAAGCAGAATTCAATAAATAAAAGTTTGGTTGACGGAGCTCTACCCAGGAATAACTTTATCAGGCAAAGAGATGGATGCCTGCCGTGTCTCCACTGCAGTCAACGGCTCCTCTGTGACTTGAGGGATGGCTGCACGCAGTCCTCAGCTCTTGGTCCTAAAGCAGCCTGCGCAGGGGGAAGTGCTGACAACAGCCTTTGGGATAACCCCGAAGCAGCTTGGAACTATCTGCTGTCATGGGTAGGGCAGTTGCATAATTAACCATAATAGCTGCAAGGAATACACTCAGCCAGATTAAAAAAACAAAGTAACTATCCATTCCCCACGGTGTAAATTATAGCTATGTGAATAATGAAATTTCTTATTTGCATTTCACATAAAATTCACCAAACTCCTTATTCACTCATTACTTACACATTATGGGTTTTTAAATGGCACTTTTAAAGTTTGCTTTGGCTCAGGATGAATTATTTGCCTAGACTTTATTTCTGGAGCCATGCTCTCTTGGGCCTTCTTCACCTTTTACAAATTCATAGCTCATTTTGTGGGTGGTAGTGGGTGGTTTGTGGACATGTGTGGGCATATATGGGAACAGTTCTGAGATATCCTAAGTGGTGAAATACTTTACAAGTAAGGGTCCTACAGCCCAGAGCAATTAATTAGCCAAAAAAAGCAGAAAATGAGTAAAGAATAGCCTACAAAGCTAGCAGCAAAAATTAGGTGACCTCCTTGCAATTACGCACACATGGTTAACCTGTAGATTTAATAGGTAGTAGACAAGCCTATTCCCCAAATCTACTGGTTGTTTGAATATCAAAACACACAAACACAAAAGTACATGAAAAGATAAAGTTGAATCAGAGGTTCTACTGAGCATGATATACTCTTGGTGAACTTTTACATTCCATTAAATGCAGTGTTGGGTACGGATGCGAGGAGGAAATCATTTTTTGTAGGTCTACTCTCAATTTAAAAAATGTGATCTTCAAAGCCAATATTAGTACCCTGTGAGAAGAGCTGGGGGAAGGAACCCAGGTGACTGTGGACAATTACCAGTCTGAAAAGGGCAACAACAACTCTTGTTTCCAACTTCTTCCACAGCTCGGTCAGACCTTGCCTTATTGCAGTATAGACCCCAACAAACTCAAGAGCAAAAAGTGAAGGGCATTAGCTAAAAGTGAAGCATACAGGCTCTCAGAGTATTAGAAAAGCAAATTCTAGATTTATAGATATGGAGAGATTTTGAGGTAGAAGAGATCAGAGTTAACATTTAGTTTCTGTTTCATTCTAATACACACGTTTCATTCTAATGCATACATTTTATAGAAGTGACAACTGGTTCTCTATAATGATAATGATAACCTACTGGCCCAATACATAGCAAACTAGTGGTAGAGTGAAAAGTAAAGATGCTGAGGTTTGACTTTGTCTAGAGATCTCTTTCTACACCATCGAGCACTGCCTGTACTCAGAAGGGACAAGAGAAGGAGCTGGTGCACTTTACCCAGGGGATGACACTTGCCACAGCAGCACAGCGACGCTGTGGGTGCATACTGAAGTCCAGGAAAAGGGCTTTTGGGTTTGTGCCTAGGCACAGAAGTTTGCTCTTCTGCTTAAGACTGGCATAAATGCCAAGGAAAATTTAATTTTACTGCTCCTAGTATACTATCACGCAGTATATTGTTCTTCTAACAATGCAGTTAATTTCAGATAAACTATCTCCCGTGAATACTGTCTCTCTTCTTACTCAACCACAGAGCATGGCTAACACTAGTTTAATGATACTGTTTATTTTCCACTCACAGGGCACAAGAACATTGGGAATTTTTGTCGTCATTTGTGTATGTAGATTGTTCCTGGTCTGATGAGGGTAATTGCTACCTTCTTACAGAAATGCATCCCTTTCACTTTTGCACAAAGCTAAGGTAATACAGGCTAAACCAAAACAGTAAATGTTCTCTGTTACCTAGAATTAACCACAAGTGGCCTAAAATAGTTTTCAATACTTTCAATTCATTTGGAAGTAGAATTTAAACAAAACATTATTTGTGGTGGAATCTATCTCTTTGAAAATACTATTGTTTTTTCCCAATAATTTTTTGGGTTTTAATTGGTCTTCAAATACACCTAAAAATCAAGTGGGTTCAATTTCTTCTTATGAGATCAATTTTTTTCCTCTAATAGTTAGATCAGGTTTTCATTTGGTTTTTAGAATGCTTTTGTACCATTCCTGCTAAGGATGTTTTGTCAACACTTGACATCTAGTGCTGTTGGGATTTAATGGACTTCTGGGAAAGGTATGATAAAAACTGTAATACCAAATATCATTAAATAGGTATCAAAACAGAGAAATCAGTTTCTTATCTAAGTATAAGGGAAGAATTTCATTTGCTTATTTCATCCTTATGAACATGTAATTCTAATAGTCTAAAAGCTAAAATCCTTAGCAAATAAATTGCAATCATAAAAATCCTCACTTCACAAAAAACTCTGAATAACAGTTAAGCCGAACAGTAATATACATAACATGCTGACATTTCTTAACAGTAGATTTATTTAAAGAAGTTACTTCCAAAAATATTTTAGGAGTTATCACTAACTTTGGTTAGTGATAGGTTAGAAAGCTTGACAATCTATCTCACAAAACATAGCTGAAAGGAAGAGACCCCTGAAATTGCTAAAGGAAAACTGCAGAGAGCCTTGTGAAGTCATGACCTTTCAAGGCGTTGCTTTACAGAGTGTGAAGCAGGCAATTCACCAGCTGCACTGAGGAAGCAGCACTGCAAAGGCCTGTGGCTGGGAATCAGGGCAAACGACATTCTGGGTGGCTGGCCCGCACTACCACTGAAAACCTACAATTAGTGTGGTCTAACCCCTGTGACAGGGAAAACTCCTTAATGTGAACTGCAGTTCAGAATTTCAAAAGAAGATCATTAAAATGAAAATCAATAAATTATCCCTTCTGCTGGTGTTTTGCTGCTGTTGTTTGTTTTTGGACTACTTCTTGGAGTTCCAAGGACAAATTCACTAAGGACCATGTACAATATCCAAGATGTATGTGCAGAACTCACTGCTGGACTTCCAGCTTTCCCGTGCGGATTTCGAGAGCCAGAGGGCTACCTGCTACCCTACTGTAGCAAGAAGAGGGGCTTCACTCCACTACTCTCCTAGGAGAATTTTTTTCCAAGTGAAGATAATTTCAATTTACTTTAAAAGGTTAAATAAGTAGTTATAGGGTAACATTGATTTGGATGCCAAGATTTATAGATTTTTTTTCATGATATGGCCAACAACCTATTTTCTTACTAATGTCACTTGACATTTACTTTTTAACTGAAACGTTTTTAGTGAGCTATAGATGCTATCGTAAGTTCCTTTACCTACTGGTACAACTTTCTGTTTCCTTCCATAGCCTTGTGAGTGACATTCACATACATCTACTCCTCCAGCGTTAGTGACATGACCCATTCACAGTTTAAATCTATGACACACTCCACAGAACAATGGTGACTTGATCAGTACAATGATTAAACAGAAAGGTTTTTTCTGATAAACAGAACCAAAATCAGCCTCTATAAGGCGCATACACACACACACACACACACACACACACACACACACACGCACACGGCCTATATTCAGAACTGATTCTTTTTCTTTTACCCCCAACTAATAAAATCAGGAGGCTGTAAGGAGGCCGAGCGGCATGCAGTTTGATGTCCTCAGCAGGATACAGGGAGTCACAAGTGACGCTGTAAATCCAGCGTGGGGCTTCGACACTGTGTGAAGTGTGGCCTGAGCCTTGGAGATTTCCCTTTGATGCAAGTTCAGTATATTAATGGGAAAAGCATTCACTTTTATTTGTCTGTACTGTCTGCGACAGCGAGACTGCCTCATTTAGCTTAGACCAACATGAAAATACACAGAGAAGCAATCTGTTGCAAATTAGCACAACTCCCCTTTCATTTACTAGCTAGTAATTGGAAGGGGTTAAGAAAGTGTAACTTATCAGATTGTACAAGCATATCTGCTTGTGTGGACAGCAAGCTTTCCCTGAAAATGCCCTAGAAACCTTGAGGCAATAATCCTTCCCAGTTGTCTGCTGGATCCTAAGGAAAACACTGAGTTGTGTGAAACACACATACTCTGGAAAGCTTGGAAAGGCAGTTTCCTAGACTCCTTTATTAGATCCTTACCTTTCTTTCGATATGTTTTTACTCTCTCGTTTCCAAATCGTCTTGAAGTCACTGCAGAACTCATACCACACCATAAACACATAGCCGGGTGTGACCTCCTTCTCACCAGCCTTCGGCTTCATCCCAAAATATCCCACAGTTGTTTGAAAACTGCAACAAGGAGGAGAAAAAAATGGAGAAAGTGGAGGCTGAGAAACTTTCGCATCAAAACCCATTAGGGTGAAGAGAGGGAACACCACTAGGGGCAGCTCCCCACCTGTCCCTTCTCTAACAGGGGAGCCCAGGCTCTGAGTTACTACCATGTATCCCAACACTCAGAAAGTCTGCTACCCTACCTGATTCACCAAGGACTCTAACTCAATGGGGGAAATTCTGGACACATCTTATTTGTCTAAAACCGCCCAGGAGGAATAAGGGGTATGTAAATTAAACTTTTGGAGCTTGTTCTCCATCACAAACAAATCCATGCTCTTCACTTTATACTTAATGATCCCATGTGACACTGATAGCATATTGGGTCTATAGCACTAGTAGTGGTCAGTTGGATGGCCTATTGGAAAGCATAAATCTACAGAACGTTTCACAGAAAAACAGGAATATCAGTTCTACCCATATTCTGCCATAATACGGTTTTGCAATCACGGGTAGAACATTCAGCATCTGTGACTTTCAATTTTCTCAAGGGTAAAATAAAAGAGACTATATGATCTTTTAAAATGCTAGATTTTAAAGTTGGATTTAATACAAAAATATAAACCACCAACTGCACAAAAACAGACATAATTGAAAAATGATCTCCAATCTGGTTAGAAAAGAACTCAGGTTTTCCAAAGCAGATTCCCAGATATCACCGAGACCTACCCCGTGAAAGCGCACTGCACACCAGAATGCCGGGCCTCCCAAGCAGCCCTTCTTGGAGGCACTAGCTTTGCAGCAATTTATAGCTCTGCACTCAATCTTTTCCCTCACCCCTACCCACCCCAAGCCTTACAGGCTCATTTGCCACGAGCATGAACACTCAAACAGCCCCCTTTTCAAGGGTGTTGGAAACTAATCAAAGCAGGAATGGCTGGCCAGGTTTATTACTCAATGCTCTATCATCTGTTCAGACACAGTGTGGTTTTTTGTGGCCATCCTGAATACGGAGTTTCTAATGGAACTCTATTCAATGGCGATTGTAAAACCCTGAAGCCCCGTTACTATTATGAGGCATACTTTCATCTCGTTCTCAGTTATTGGGCAATATGTATCTCATAAGATTTTATCACATTTCACAGATGAACTGTTAATTGATTCCATGGCTACGATTAGGTGAGATCCAAGCTGGAGCTGAGTCCCATAAATTCTTTGTGCTTCTGTAAATAACAAATCTGTTTTTAATGCAAATTAAAACTACTGGTCAGGGAATTTTGAACCCCAGTTATTAAAAGACTGGAAGTGCATAAGCGGAGAAAGGCAGGAACTCTAGTAATCTCTTAAGGGGCTCTCTGATAATTCCAAATGTGACACATTTGGGAGCAAAATAAGTAATTGAACAAAGCAGCAAGACTACTTTCATGGCTCAGACATGACTCCTAATTCTATGACAGTCAAAATACTGAGAAAATCAGATGCATGCTCCACAGTACATTCTATCTTTTCATTCAAAAAGGAAATTACCTTGATTGGAACATAGGACTACGGAACGTGAGAGTTGTGTAACTTACAGAAACAAGCCACAAGTTTCCTACAAAATCAGAGGACTCCAGCATTGGAAGGAATAGTAGGCTGACTTTTCGAATATTCTCATTTTACAGATGAGAAACAAAAGCCTGGAAAGACTGAAAAGCCTCATTCACTGGCAGAGCTGGGCTTAGAATTTGGGACCTCTGGTTCCTTGTTAGTTGCTATTTCTGCTCTTTTCTTCTGATGCCTATGCTCACTGACATAGGCACTTACATAATTAAGTAGTCATTTCCCCTGTTTCTACTTTTAGTTCATCATCCGTTGTATCACACAGAATAACCCATGCTTCCAGGAGGGCACAGTGTCATCTTTCTTCTTGCAGTTCACCTTCTATATAGATAAAGATTTTCTTGTGTATTAAATGAAAAACTTTCATTTTTTATATTCAGAAGAACAAATGGTCTTCCTGTTCTATGGCAGGATATAGTGCCGAGCACTATAAATTTTATCACTGTGATTCACTGATCATCCCAACACGTCTGGCGTTACTGAAGTCTTGATTGTGAGATGGAGATACTGCAAATAAATAACAGTGTACCTTCCAGAAAACAACAACGCTGTCTGGTTGTTACACAGAGTCTGAGAGAAGCCTGTCACCATCACCGAGCTCCCTTTTCCAGCTCTACACTGATGCTAACTACTGTCCTTGCATGTCTTTCCCTGCTCGTTTGTGAGGCCCTGCTTGTGTGGGGCCCTGCTCTCTTACAGGGGGTGGAAACTAAAAGAAATAACACATTTCAGCAACCCTCCCTCCCCCACAGCGTTTTGGAATCTCCAAAAACAAGTGATCCTTTTCAGAGGCAGATGGACCCAAGCGCACAGTTTGAGTTTGGCACTCCACACCTCTGGTAAAGTTAAGGTTACTCAAGGATGGGCCTCATTTGATTTCACTGTTACTTCTTTGTTTAAGCTCAAAGCCAGCCTATGAAGCCACATCTATCTAATAAGGTCAACCATTGTCCTCCCCAGATAAAACTCTTTCCATCTCAAATTCAGTAATGGCTCACAGAAGATTGGCCATTGAAAACCTTCTGAAATTTGGGCAAGAGAATTATTAATATGAAGCCAACAGGAGAATTTTTTCCAACAGACAGGAATCAAAGGGTCAATGGTGCTTTTTGAAATTTCTGTCAGTGGGTCATTCTAACAAAGTGTTCAACTAGTAAAAGACATTTTTGATTGTATGTTTTATACAACTTTGAAAAAAGTTCACTCTTAGTCCTTGAGTCCTTTTCTTTCTAATTCCTTGTCTAATTCATATCTTTTTATTTCGGCCAAACAGTTTGAAAGTACAGACAATGATAATGTCAAAGAGCCCTTCACAAAGTGAGACGCCTTTTAAAGGAGAGCACATGCAGTTTCTGTTTTACATGCCCGCCTTCAAAAACTGCTTAGTAAAAGCAAATATTCCTTAGCCTCAGAATAAATTGTTTCTCTTGAGGATAAAACATAAGAATTTACCAAATCTCACACGAATATTGCAACACCAACCACAAGCTCCTTAAAGAGTATAACCAAACAACTGTGGTTTCTACATTAAAGATGGGATCTAACATATTTCATTGATGACATGAAAGCTAGACTACCTTCACCACAAAGCCACGGAAAATGCTGACAACCAAATTTATGACTCTTCTCAGCATAGCTAATGTGCAGCAGCAGCCTCAGCCCCTCTAAGGTGGGCCCCCTTTTCCTTCAGCAAAAGTCTTAAAAAAGGATTAGAAATCTGACATCTACCCTGGAAGCTGAATTTCTGTTTGGCCTGATACCAGTGTGCCCTGTTTGACGGTCTCCTCTCTACATGCTGAAGGTTTCCATAACACAGGCACACACTCATTTCACACACTAAAAAAGGAAAGCTTACTAGAGAGATAAGGCAATGGAAGGGTACACAAATCTAAAAACTGTCTCAGTTTTCAATGATTATCATGATAGGATGATATTCATAATTCAAGAACATGTCTGCACTTAGAAAACTACACCATTTGCCTTAATCTTGCTTTCATCAGCATTTTAATTTTGTTGGCAATTATAGTGGGAAGCAAGGCTAGATGTTGGTACCTGTCAAAGCAGGGCAGGCAACACTGTGTGTGGGTTTTCAGAACCCTCAAAGGTGTGGTTAGACTGAAAGAAGAGGGTTCATTTCTCGTTTGTTCATTCACATTTAAATTCACAACTGGGAAACTTCTCTCATTTGCAAAGCTCTTTCTTTCCTTATACCCTGTTTCCTCCTCCTACCCTCTTAAGTAATTTTCTAGTACTTTTAGAATTGGTACCAGCAAATGTATCCCCGTCCTCACTCTGAATGCCTCAGAATATTCCCATTCACACTTCTATAAACAAAAGATAAGCAGGCTGCCTGACCTACTCAACGAACAAAAGAGAAAACCCCAAGGGATCAGAACTGAAGGTTATTATGTCCTACTGATTCCACTTTGGTCGAGAGGCAGGAGCAAGCAGAGGCTTGAAGTAGGCAAAAACTGCCTGGAAGAACTCTGAGGCCTCTCTTCACTTCTGGGGAGGATTTTCTATAAATGGAACCCAGTTCCCTCTCCCCACCTGTCCCATGACCACAATATCCTCTAGGATCTGAGGGAAGACATAGTAAGCACCGTAGCATTTGCAATAATTGGTTTAATCTAGTTGTAATGCTAACAAAGATCAAGTTGTGCCTAAATTCCATGAAATGGCTCAAGAGCAGAGTGGAGGAGGGGAAGCCAGGTGGAACACTGTGATGATGTAGGTGTGAGGCAGGTGAGTCCCCCTGGATGGTGCCCTGCTTCCGGGAAAAGTATTCCCAAATATTCCTGCCACAGTGCTTCCACCCCAGCTCCAGAATAAGTCTTACTGCTCATGGAGGCATAATTTCTTTTTTTTTTTTATTTTAAAGAGAGAAAGAAAAAAAAGTAAAAATAAAAATAACAATAAAACAGAGTTTCAAAATGACTAGTAGGACAATAAAAATAATTAATACATTGCATATTGTTATCTTCATAGTAGTTTATTCAGAGTACAAGATATAGGCAAGAAATACTGTCCAAACAATATTGGCTCAAACCTTTCATATATATATATATACACATATATATATTCTTTTTGCTTCCTTCTCTCATCCCAGTTTTTCTTTCCTTTTGAACAATTTCTTCCCAATTCACAGTATCTATTGTGCATTTTGGATCTTATTTATTTGTTCAGCTTCTCACACTAGTGAGACAACATGATGTTTACACATGTGGGTCTGATTTATTTCACTTACAAGTATGCTCCCCAGTTGCATCCATTTACCTATAAAAGTCTTAAGTCTATCCTTCTTTACACCTGAGTAGTACTGTATTATATTAAAAAATCACATGTTTTTTATCCATTCCTTGGTTGATGGGCATTTGGGTTGTTTATAAGATTTAGCTATTACAAATTGTGCTGCTATAAACATGGGTGCGCATATGTCGCTGTGATATGATGTTTTTCATTATTCTGGGAAGATGCCCAGAAGAGGAATAGCTGGGTCAAATGGGACCTCTAATCCTAGCTTTCTGAGTAATCTCTATACTGATTTCTACAGTGGTTCCACCAATCTGCACTCCCACAGCAGTGGAAAAGGGTTTCCTTTTCCCCATAGCCTTACCAGCATTTGTTACGGTTAATTCCTTGATTATAGCCCTTCTTTCTGGGGTGAGATGGAATCTCAGTGTTGTTTTAATCTGCATTTCTTGGATGACCAATGATGTTCAATATTTTCTTACATACCTATTTGCCAATTGTAGTTCTTCATCTGAGAAGTGTGTGTTCATCTCAGATTCTCATTTTTGGATTGGGTCTTTGAATTTTGGGGGGCCTGAATTTTCTCAATTCTTTACATGTTCTAGATGTATATCCTTTGCCTAAGGGACAACTGGCTATAATTTTTCCCACTCTGTGGGTTGTCTTTTTACTCTTTTGGTGATTTCTTTTGTTGTGCAAAAGATTTTTAATATGATAAGATCCCAGTTGATGATTCTTTGAAGTGTTTCCCGTGTGGTCTGGGTCTTGTTCATGAAGTCTCTACCTACAATTGTGTCTTCGAGATTTCTGCCTATTTTCTCTTCTGGTAAATTTAGTGTTTCTGTTTTAATATTTAGATCCTTGATCCATTCTGACTTTAGTTTAGTGCATGGTGATAGACATGGGTGTAGTTTTAGTCTTTAGCATGTGGAAAGCCAGTTTCCCCAGCAACATTTATTAAGGAGCTATCTTTCCTCCAGTGAACATGTTTGGCTCCTTTGTCAAAGATAAGGTGGTTGAGTGTTTTTGGAGTTGTGTCTGCATCTTCTATTCTGTTCCACTGATTTTCAGGTCTGTTTTTTTTGCCAGTATTATGCTGATTTTATCACAGTAGCTTTATAGTATAATTTCAGTTTAGGGATTGTGATACCCTCTGACTTGCCTTTGTTGCTCAAAATTGCTTTTGTTATTCTAGATCTGTTCTTGTTCCAAATGAATTTTAGTAACGTTTTCTCTTGTTCTCTGAGGCATGCTAATGGTATTTTGATTGGGATTGCATTGAATCTGTATGTTTTGGGAGTATGGCCATTTTCTCTATGTTGGTTCTTCCTATCCATAAGCAAGGAATATCTTTCCATTTTTTTGATATCCTCTTCAATCATGGAGGCATAATTTCAACACATGGGGCCAAAAATGGCTATTCAAATGCTATGAAAATGACATCAACCAGTTATGAAAAGATGAATTCTACATGGCTCTACAACTTATGTGAGCTACCTAGAGGAGCCAAAGTCACAAGAACAGGAAGGAGAGTGGTGATTGCCAAGGCTGGGGGCCAGGAGGGATAAGGAGTTTGTGCTTAATGGGCACAGAGTTTCAACTGAAGAAGATGAAAAAGTTCTGGAGATGGGTGGCTGGTTGCAAGCAATGCCGGTGGGAACATACCAAATAAATATAATAAATAGGATATATAGTCAAACAAAGACTTGGGTTTAAATCAGAACTCTTTACCTCTTCTGTGCATTCTCCAAGTGACTTTCTTCCATTTTATGCTCCTTTTTGGCTGCAAAAGAAAAATAACTATGATTATAACTATTTTCTTCCACCATACCCCACCCTGTGTAATGTTATAATTTAATTATACCCATTTATTATTACAATAAATCTGAACACAGGGGTTTGAAAGGTTTTACTACAGGTCTTAGAGATAGCAGTCAATGAGTTACAGCTGCCAAACTGCTTTCTTGAAAACAACCAAAGTTAACAGTGCGATGCTTCCTCTGGGACACTTCTGAGAGTGAAAGGGAACAATAATTATAATTATACCTGGACAAAGCTATAAACTGGAACAGTGCTGGGCAGACTGGCAGATGTGGCCACTGAGCTACAGCCTCCTTGTGAGCCTTGGCATGTAAACGCCACATTCTCCCTTACCCTAAAATGTAATAACCCAGCAGTGCTTACAGTAGCTCTCCTGGGATTCAAATGAATTCATGAGAATCCTTGCAGACTTGGTCTCACACTCCAAGTCCTTTAGCAGTCTAGGGAAGCCTCTCAGAAGAACATTTTTAAATGTGTTGAAAAAGACTGTGTAAGATTACTAAGAAAATCAATGATGCTGAGCTATAACTCTGAATCTACAGATTAGGAACTCTTCTTCGTTAAGGGTTATTTAATAAGGAGGTTTCTTTTTAGGGTGGCTTTTGTACATACATCATCTCTCTAGTTGGAGGACAGTATTTTAGTGTATGAAAATAACATACTTTTTAAATGTCTAGAAAAATCAGCAAGTTATAACATAAATTATGTCTTAAGAATCCTTTAGTTTGCAATTACACTGAGATAAAATGAATGAACGAAGATAATCAGTCATATCTTGAGTCTCTGTTGTGGTACTCTGTGAAAGACATTAAAGGAATTTAGAACAGTATTTGATAAAGCCTGGCTCTGCCACTTATTATGTTTGTGGCAAAAGGCAAGTTACTCATGACCAGACACTTAGTCACTGCCTCTGTCCTATGAGAACAGTCTTAGTGACCACTAGCAGAGAGTGGCAATAAAGACCAAATGAGATAATATATGCAGAGAGCTTAGTGTGTAATCTATGGTCAATACATGACATGACAGGCATTTCTGGTGGTTCATGATCATCATCTCCACCATGAGTGTAAGTTTTATCAAGTTGTTTGCCTACTTAAAACTTCTGATGGATTTTCAGCACCCTTGATATAATGTCTGAAGTCTTCATAGTACTATAGAAGGTCCTGTGAGTCTGCTCCCTGCCTTCTTGGAGACACCACTTCTTTCTCATGTTCATTTCTTTCCAGCCCTGAGCAACCTGCGGTGGCTCCATCATGCCGACCACATGCATCTGTGGACCTCTGCGCTCCCTGCTCTTCCCCCTGGAGCACAGAGCTCAAATACTACCTACTTGGGCTCCACCACAGAAAAACATCATCACTTGCTCTGCCTCATCTTCTTCACAACGCCATTATACGCTCAACCCTTTTCCTTTACCTTTTCTTCCCCATCACCTTTATCTACTTGACACACTATTCCTTTACACAGAAACAACTTATACCATTAACTATTATACAGCAATGTCAGAGCAGTAACTCCATTGCCTTGCTTTCTGCTATAACACTAAGTGTAAAAAAGTACCTATATAAATAATTTCAGCTTAGAAGTACATATTTAAGATTTATTTAAAAGACAGGAGCTTTCCCAAGCATAAGACTTTATGTCTGGAATATGAACATAAGCTAAAGATTGTACACTGCTATATTATCTCTAAATGCAGCAAATATTAATAATTATTTTAATATTAAAATGATTTGGCTCTGATAAGTACATAATTTTAGATAAGGTTAAGTCATATTTAGGTCCATCTTTTGCTGTATGTCTTCATTCCATCCCTACCCCCACCCCACTCCTAGGAGAAATCTCTGTTGACTAAATCTGGTTAACTTAGCCAATCAGATACTGAGATGTGACTCTCTCACCCATAAGGTACCAAGTTCCCCAAAATGGGAAACTAGTGATTTGTTCTTATCCAGTGATTTTGAACTATGTGCATGGCTAAACAGGGGAGGAAATTCCTTCGGGGCTTGCGTGGTCTTCCTGGAGGACCTTTGCTTTCCTCCGTCATCAGATGGTTTCTAACTGGCTGATTCCACGCTGTGCTAAGTAGACTGTGGCCACACCGTCACTGCATATCAACTTAGTGACAGGAAACACCATATTCAGACTGAGTTAGACAGTAGATAAGGCTTCAATGGCTCTATGAATATGGTGATTTGGATAAAACAATGTCCAAATGCAAAAAAGAGGTATTACTAAGAGGCAGTTAATACCACAGAACCTCTGAGGGTTTGGAGAAAAGAGCCGAAAGGAAAATGAAAAGAACCTAGACTAGGTCCTCAATTTTTCCTGGGCAAAAGGCCGTATCTATACATTTATAGGAAAGCCTTACTTCCCCTGGTGTGACTTAGACGCTCTACCAGCCTAAAATATTTCTCCTTCCTCAATGTATAAAACTTCCAACCATGTCACTGTATGTTGTCAATATTTTAAAAACCAAATTCAAAAATATTATTGGAGTCACAAATTCTAATGCCATCAGCAAACAAAGTAATTGTGGGCCAAGTGTAAGAATCTCAATGCTCTAAAGTTCAATTCCTTGTTTCTCAGTGGGGACTAGTGGGGGAGTGGAAGTGCTCTGTTTAAGAGAGAGCAAATACTTGGCCTTATTACCAGATCTTCCAACTTCGTAGTGGAAAGTTAGAAAAAGATAAATGGATAATTCCAATTTTTAAAACATTTTCCAATACTCTGCAAGACAAAGAAAGCGTTCCTGGTGGCATATCTGGCTCTGCAACCCCTGACTTTAGCTTGGCAGTTGACATCATGAACACGTGGGTTTGTTCTTGCAGTCCATGTGCCAGGCCCTACTCTAGATGCTTGGGGCTACCAGTGAAGAAAGCAGACAAAGGTCCTTGTACAACTTTCATTTCAGTCAAAAGACAGCTAAACCTGAGAAAGCAAGATCCCTTGTAAGGAATTTGTGATAAAGGACAGCAGGAAAATCTTGGAGCACAGATGGATACCTACAAAAGGAGCCTCTGTTATTGGATTAGGTATGCTGAAACAGCCAGAACCATTGGTACAAGGATCAAAGAGGAAAGATAATATTTAAATTAAAGATAGTATATGCTAGATTAAAACTGTCCTTATTCTACTGCTCTGAGTAGTAGTGGTCCTGAACCGATCTATGGAAGTCACTTAATTTTCTACAAAGCCACATGGATAATAGTATTTAGGTGCTCTGTTTTTCAAGATAAATCATAGCACTACTAGTTGGGGTGGGAGGAGGTACTGTCAGGCAGCATCAGGAGGGATGGTGAAATGCCAGGCATCCTCACCTTGCTCTTCTCTCTCCTAAGAAGCTGTCACCTTGCCTATAATAAGTTGTATGTATGTAACTATTTTTCAAATCAAGGGATTAGTAGCTGCTTAAAATAATAATCTCCCAGTTTTTAAGATAATTAAAGCAATAAAAATAGGTCAGAATACTAATAATGAGAAGCTTCACTTAACATCCATTCTATCTTCCAAACTTCTGCATCAAGGCTAGGTGCACACTGGGATGGGTGACTCTGGAAGTCTGTGGAGAGACCTGAGAGGTATGTTTGCTCCACAAGCTATAATTTTTTTTTCCATCAGTAGAACTGTATATTATTTTACTTAAACTTTTATTTTCTCTATTAAAGACCAATATGTATTTTTCATAAATCTATATCACCATGAGAAAGCAATATGGCACCTCTATAAGGTGTTTTTTTGTTTGTTTCAGTGGTATTTGTATGGATTTTATTTCATGCAGTCTCTACAGAGAAAAGGATCCCCTTGTTCTAGGGTAAATCTTTAATCCTTGGCATTTTGTTTCTTTGTTCATTTGGTGTTCTTTGTATTACTAGTTATCAAGAAACTGGCCCACTGGAAAATGTTTCAAAGGTCCTAAGTACGATAGGTTACCAAGTGAAGCAGAAATGGCCCATTCTGTTCAAGAATTCTGGGCCCAGAGAATGCAAATCAGGACTCAAGGCAGTTGTATACCATGTTTTAAGGCCAAGTCTCTCACTTAAATGTTGTGCACAAGTCGCCTGTATTCTCCTTTGTAAAATGGATGATATCTACCTCTCACCGAGTCAGGCGTTTATGTGAAATGAGCATCCAGAGTGTTCAGTTTAATCTAAATCTCTGCAGTTAGATCTTTGATGCTCAATGTCATGTTGAGGTTGCTGGGGCTTCAAATTTCCCATTGGTTAGTAGGTGTAGTGTAGTGTAGTACAGTGCAGTGCAATGCAGTGCAGAGGGCTTGGGCTTCATGTCAGGCAGACCTATGTTGAGTTTCTGTTCTGTAACTTATTAATTGGATGACACTGTGAAAGTCACTTACCCCCACTGAACCTTACTCATAAAAATGGGAATGAGATCTACCTTGTAAGAAGGTTGTGACTGTGAGTCATACCAAACACCTAAGATTAACCTGTGATTAGCACATAATGGGCACTCTAAGAAGGGTAGCATTTATTATTGATTAGCTAGAGCAAATGCTAATATAGCACACCTCAGAGACACCATGGTTGGGTTCCAGACCATAACAATAAAGCAAATATCGCAATAAAATGAGCCACATGAATTTTTTGGTTTCCTAGTGCACATAAAAGTTATACTTACACTACACTGTAGTCTATTAAGTGTGTAAGAGCATGGATTGTAAAAAAAATACATACCGTACATACTTTAATTTAAAGACACTTTATTGATAAAAAATGTGAACAATCACTTAAGCCTTTAGTGAGTCCCAAATCTTTTTGGTAGGGACTTGCTCTGGACTAGGCAGTTACCTAAGCAAGTACTGTGGTTGGCTGGATCTTCAGTCCAGACCACTAAAGTTTTCTCCATATCAGCAACAAGGTTGCTTCTCTTTCTTATCATTTGTGTGACTGCTGGAGTAGCACTTTCAATTTCCTACAAATACTTTTCCTTTTCACTTACAAC